AGTGTTCTATATTCTAAATTGTTTATATTTCATGAATCCATGATTATATTGATCATTTAATTCGGCTTTAAATGGAGGAAGTCAAGATTTTTGCAAAATCTTCCAAAAAATGGAAATTTAAGATTTAGAGGTCTAGTTGTTATTGGAATTTGATAAAATTGGTATGGTTAAACTCATATCGGAATGGGTGTTTGGATTACATAAACACTATGTCGAATTACGAGAGGAGGGTCCTGCTTTGACTTTTGTTGACTTTTTGGAATAAATTTTTAAGTCGACGTATTATTATCCGGAATTGTTTCCTATGAATTTTAATGAAGTTATACAATTAATTTGGATAGATTTGAGTGGTCCGGAGGTCAATTCAAGCAAGAAGGTGATTGTGGAATATCGGCACAACTTCAAAAGGTAAGTATCTTGCCTAACCTCGAGTGGGAGAATTTTCCCTTAGGCATCGAGTCTTATGTGCCATTTGTGAAATGTGAAAAGACGTGTACGCGAGGTGACAAGTACGTACTCGGGCTTATATGTGCAAATTTTATTGGGTTAAAGTCTTAGGAATTATTATGTAGTAAATTGGATAATTGTTGGCATTTATTAAATCATCTATTTGCCATGCCTAAATCCTTGTTTGTTAAATATGCTTTTATATGATAATTTGATGTGATTGTTACTTGAATATTTATGTAATTCCGTAAGTTTGTTGGTTTGATATTTCTTGGAATTTAATTTCATTATGAATTTTTCCTCTGCAAATAATTAATTAAATGAGCTTAAGAAGAGGTGTTTATATAATTTTTGAGAATTTGGATTAATGAAGGCGCTGCCCTATGCTGAATAATTTCTATCTCTGTTGATTATTTTTGAGGTCTTTATGCACATTGTGTGGTGCCTTCGGCTATTTGTTGTGAAATTAATTGATTTGTTGTATCTTTAGAATTGGTTTTGATCATTGGGCAAATTGTGATATGAATTGATTTTGTTATGTTGCCCTGATAATTTTTCGTGTAAATTGTTGTGTTGTGTGAGTTGTTATTTTGAGGATATAAGGGTGGCATTCCACTGTTGATATTATGTGGGTATAAGGGTGGAATTTTACTATTGTTATATGTGTTGGGATATTTTCTGGGAGGAGCGATAAGGGTGGCTATAGGAGTGATAAGGGTGGCTATATGAGCGATAGGGGTGGCGATTGATATTGTCAGGGCGGAGGAATAAGGGAGGCTATTACAGGAGAGATAAGGTTGGCAATAGGAGAGATAAGGGTGGCTATTGTCAGGGATGATATGTGATGATGTGGAGTTGTTGCGTTGGTAATTTTTATGTGATGTTGGGATTTTTCCTTGAGTTTATTTTTATATCATGTGCAATTGGTCTTGTTGTTGGTAAATTGGTAATAGTCTGATTTATGTTAAAATTGGGAGTCTGTAGCCATTGCCAGATGGATTATGATATGAAATGTGGGCACGAGGTGTCGTGAGTAAATAATGATAATATTGGCACGTGAATTGTCCGTGCAGTTGTCATATGAAATGAGGGAACAAGGTGTCATGGCTAAATGATGATGATATTGGCACGTGAGTTGCCTGTGCTGTTGTGATAGAGAAATTTGGCACGAGGTGCCATGAAAATATGAAAGTGGGTTGAGACCCGTATTTTATGATTTTGAAATGAGGTGTCACATGGTGACTTTTTAATTGAAAGAATTATATTCAAAATATATATTTTGAAGGATTTTTATTCAAAAAGATTTATTTGAAAGAATTACATTCGAAAGATTTTTATTTGAAGAAATTATAATTGAGAGAGATTTATTTAAAAGAAGTATATTTGAAAGATATTTATTTGAAGGAATTATATTTGAAAGAGATTTATTCGGAAGAATTATATGTGAAAGATATTTATTTGAAGGCCTTGATTTAATTGGGTGTACTTATATTTATTAATTGCTGAGCGATATTATTTTTGTTCTTGTTGCCCTGCTATGCATATCACTGGTTGATTTGTGTTGCCCTTATTATTATTTGCTTCCTATTATTTTGGTATATCTTATTGCACAGGTTAATAGACTAGTAAGTGTCTTGACTGTACCTCGTCCCTACTCCACTGAGGTTAGTCTTGATACTTACTGGGTACCGACTGTGGTATACTCATACTACACTTCTGCATATTTTTGTGCAGAGCCAGGTATTGGAGATATCAGACTTAGACAGAGTTAAAGCGAGATCATAAGGATTCAAGGTAGAGTTGCTTGGTCGTCGCAGTCCCTTGTAGTCTTTTCATTTTATTGTACTATTAATTTTTAATCAAACAGTATTGAGTATTTGATCCTTGAGATCATTCTATGTATTCAGTTAGTGTTCGTGACTCAGTATTACCAGTCTTTGGAGATTTTCATATTTGTTTCCGCTGTTAGTTTTGATTAAAAAAAAAAAGAAAAACAAATTGGCTTGAATTGTTATAAAATCGGCTTACCTAGTCTTAGAGACTAGGTGCCATCACGACGCCTGAGGTGGGATTTTGGGTCATGACAGATTCATAAAAGCTCTTGGATAACTAACTCAATAAAAGAAGAAACTCTTTTCCATAGAAATCCTCAATCATTATTTAATATATTCATCTTAAATTTAGTTTCAACAAGAACACAAGCCCTTAAAGATTTTTATGATTTATTTTTGAAAATATTTTTAATCAGCTATTCTCAAATTTATTTGAGAAGACAGAAATAGGTTTAAATACACTTTTATTACGATACTTCAAAAACTCTTCAAATAGCACAAATTGAAGAATTGAATCTTATCTCCTTTCAACTTTTTTCCGGGGAAAAACATCTTATGTGCTTTCGACTTATTGTCCCTCAAAGGTTTCTTTGTTACTCCTGTAGTAAGATTTTAATTACTAAAACATAAAAAAATTCAATGGGGGACTCAGTTTTAGTACATTTTTTCTTCTGTTGTTTCACCTTCATCTCTTCAAGTTTGCACTTTCACCAAATTAACTCTTAATATTATACTATACTACTCGTATTTTATTTTTTGACTTTTATTTTATTTTCTACTTTTTTTTACTTTTTACTCTTATTATATTTCTACTCTTATTTTATTTTTACTCTTATTTTACAAAGTACTTATCAGAATTAACATTTTTAGAAGTTTGGTCCATAGGCTAGATAGATAAAAGATAGAGGGCCGGTCCCGGGCCAAAGTGGGCTAAGTGTGCCGGTCCAAACAGTCCCGGTCCCGAGCCAGTCCCAATTTAAACGAGTCAAACAGTCCCGGTCCCAGTGGTCTTTTTGTAGGAACCAGCCCATGACCGGGCCCATGAACTAATGGTCCCGGGCTAAACGGTCACGGCCCACGGGCTAAGTAGGCCCAACAGATACTTTTTTAAAAATTTTGTTTTTTATAGAAATTAGAGAAAAAAAGATGTTAATAAAAATATCTAAGGCAATTCCTTGTAAATTTTATTATAGAATTGTGACCTACATTGTTTAATTCAAATTTAAAGACAAAAATATTGTAAAGAGATATTCAAAGCAATGCGTTATAATTTTATTATAGTATTAAACAAACATGGCAATATCCTTCTTAGTCTTCCTCCTCCCTATGGAATGAGCACAATAATGTTGTAATACCACCATTGAGAAGAAAAAGAAACTAATCAAGATGTGCCAAAATACAAGTTACATAATACATACTATTTNTATATATATATATATATATCCCGCCTTATCACGCCGCATGTGCAAATATCAATGGTAACAATAGCACGGTAGAAACCTCGTGCAACCCCATAATAACAACCGCACGGCAGAAACCTCGTGCATCACCATAACAAGTACAACAGCAACAATGACAAAAATACGAAGTACGACAAGTAAATCAACTCAAGAACTTTAATTCACAAAGAAACGGTAGAACCAATTCACAAGGAATAACCACAGTAAAGAATGATAGGCGTAAAGAAAACAGCTCAACAAAGGGAGAACTAATGTGTAGCAATGATCCCACAATATACACTTCAACAATAGGGAAGCTAACACGAATCAAATAATACTAAATAAAACAAGTCGACTAAGATATACGATATCTAAACTTCTATTAAGGTTGAGGAAATTACGAAGGATATTCAACAATTCAATTAAGGATAAGCAGCGGAAAAATAATCATAACCTCAATTAAGACTGAACAATTATAGGATAAAATAATATAAATTCCAAATAAAGATAAGCAGTTATGAAAAGATAGCATGGCTATAAAAGAGATAACAGTTTCAGTTAAGGCATATATGAATCAAGTAACAATAATAGTGGATCATGAAGCAATTGATTCTAATTAAGCAGATAGATGTGAATCTAGTAATTAAGATATATAATCATAATAAGAACAACTGCATATTCAATGAATACAAGGACCTAAGAACCCTAAAAGGCCAACTTCCCACAAATAAGTCTGTGTACGCACTCGTCACCTCGTGTACACGGACTACAATCAATATAGAAGACTCAAATCCTAAGGGGAAGTCCCTCACACAAGGTTAGGCAAGATACTTACACTACTAGAAAATTGATCTATGGCAACAGTGGCAAAACCGTTACAATAGATACGAAAACCGTTGCCACAGACAAATTGCAACGGTTCAGGTCGCGTGCCAATAGCTCTATCGCAACGGTTTTGTGCAACGGTTGCATAATTGTTGCAATAGGCCTCTGTATGGTAACGGTTTTGGAACCCTTGCAATAGGTCTATCTTTTGTAACGGTTAATTAGTCAAATGGGACGGTTCGAAATCATCTCATTATCATTTTAGGGAACGGTATTTTCTGCTATAGCAACGGTTTAGATGATATATTGTGACGGTTATTAGAGGCTATTGTAACAGTTATTAGGAGCTACTGCAATAGTTTATTGAGACTATTGCAACAATTATTAGAAGCTACCGCAACGGTTCATGAAGGCTTGCAAACAATTTGTTGAAGCTATTGCAACAATTTATTTAGACTTTCCACAATAATAAAATTTATATTATTGTCTAACAATTCAAAAGCATACATAAGCTCTCAAAGTAATGGAAATCCAAAATAAAAGATTCCTAAATTATCTGAATACACTAATATTTTCAAAATAATCCCATAACTCTAAGCAATATTTTTGCCACTTTCATCCACTCTTTGCTCATCCGATCCACCTATAAAAGATGAAAATAAATGATTTAGTAAATTTTTCAAAAGAATTTAACATCCAGAACAATCTAAGTAGTACCTTGAAACTTCAAGTGCAATTCAGCTCAAATTAAAGAAGTCAATAAAGCTTCGCAAATTTAAATTCAAAGCAGTCCTAGAGATAAACTAAAGGATCTACATATGGCCAGTTAGAAAAGAGATCACTGATTGCAAATCCTTCCCTAAATAAGCCAGCACTTATAATGAAAAATAATTTAAATCAAGTTTTCCAACCTAGAGTTGAACTAAAGGCTCTACATATTGCCAGTAAAAGAGAGATTACTGATTGCAATCAAAATGGTGTTGTAATGTTTAACAATTCAATTCAGCTCAAGGAAGTCAATAAGACTTTGCAACTACAAATTCAAATTACTCCCAGAATTGCAAATTCAAAGCAGTCCCAGAGAGGAACTAAGTGCTGGAATAAGACACAACAGTTAAAAATATATTAACCTGACCAAAATATAATAGTTTCATCAAAATGGTGTTGCAATGTTTTTCCATTGATGATTCAGAAATTACTACTGAAAAAGGCACCAATTGCGACCATATGTACAATAGAGAAGAGAGATACCAATCAAACTATCACGGGAACATTGTCATCGTACAATACTAATTATACAAGTGAAGCAAGCTGCTAGTGTATAGTCAAATGAATGTCCAGCAGCCATGAACTATCACATTGTGCAAGTTCTATTAGTCATGAACTATCATGTGGTGGATTTTACAATTACATGCATACAGTGAAATGGTAAAAGTATTGTTCCAACAACAACGAGTAGAAATCTTGTTCCAACGACGTGGACTTAGAATTTAGAGCGGATTTAATAAAGGTAAGATTATAATTTATTTCACATAAATTTTGACAAAAAGTCCAAATTATTTTTTCTTATGTTGTAGGAATGTGATGCATCCATAGTAATGGATAAAGGTAGAGAATTCAAAAGTCAAAAGGGTGCTAGACCAAAAAAGAATTATGTGAGAGCATTTGAAGGGATAGACCAGATCAATGCTAAACTACAACAACAACAACAACAACCCAGTATAATCCCACTAGTGAGGTCTGGGGAGGGTAGTGTTTACGCAGACCTTACCCCTACCATGAGATAGAGAGACTATTTTCAATAGACCCTCGACATCCTTCCCTCCAAGAACTTCCCACCTTGCTCTTGGGGTGACTCGAACTCACAACCTCTTGGTTGGAAGTGGAGGTTGCTTACCATTAGAGCAACCCCTCTTGTCTATCAATGCTAAACTAAAACAAATAAAAAAAAGAATAAACAAGATACAACTGAAACAAAAGTTTGATTACTTAGAAAGCTCTCACCTTAATCTCTTGTGTTGATCTTCAAGATCGTACAAGGGTTGATTACCCACATAACTCTCACCTTTAATCTCCCAATTTACCTGCAAAACCAAATACTGCATAAAAAATATTAGCAAAAAATTTATATGGTAATGAATAATCAATAAGTTGGAGTTAGTCAATAATGTGATGCTAAAATCTATCAATAGTTGCAGATCATAGCACATAGCTATGCATGCCACACAAGACTACAAATGTTGGGATAATGAATTGATAACACTGCCCATATAAAGCACCTTGTGCAGGAATAATCATGGACAAATATACTTCTACAACCTGAAAACTTCAATGTTGGGCTCATTATAAGGATTATATGCAAGTTTTGAGCTGAATCTTGGACATTCCTACAGGAGAAAAAAAGGTTAAAACTAATTAGCCCCCTTCAAATTAAAACCTGCATGTAAATTGAGTTGGCCATGTTATCACTGCAAGCTTCATTTTCTATATGGAACCAGAGACTTGATGCAGATATTTCTGTACCTAAAATTAAACATAAGCAATGATACAATAAATTGCCTCTCGGGGAAATACTTAGATTTCATGGATTACAACACCTACCTTGTGCGAGAAATATACATATACTACAGATGATATATGCAATGTAAATCCCAGACAGAACCTATCAAACACAAGTGAATTAAAGAAACAATATAAGAAGATTTCAAAGACAGACCAAAATGGAATATTCTGGAATTTTTCAAGTAGTTTAATTAATCTCAAAGGGGTATTCTCAAATTCTGTTTTGAGAGAATGAGAGGAATTCAAACATCAATATAACAAAAGGACTTAAATGTAATCCCGATACAGAATTAGTATACCCTTCCAACTATATCTCGTTTAGCATAAGCTAATCAAAAAGAGCAAAACAAATTAGTGATAAGAGGAAGAAGCAACAGGAAGTACCATTTGATATCCAATCTACCCCAAGTGACCTTTGTAAAGTATACAAGATATTAATCTTATATTCTCGCACTGTATATAAATTCACTTAACTAGATGATAAATAAAGTAATATTCATCAACCAGTAACAAATTACGTGAAGTGATTACTTCTAAAAGTAAGAACCAGTAAGATATTTGAAAGTTTATATTGAAATGTTAAGCACTGAGATAAGTTGAAACAAACATTACGATAAAATGTAATCTCCCATTTACTGAAAGCTCGTTTTTGAGTTTTGGTCTCACGAATGACTAGATAGAATGATCAATACAATAAGCTTAAAAAATAAATTATCATGCTGATATGCACTCAACCTTTCTTCTATTGCAACATTATTTGTATAGGACACTCAAAGGAATTCATTGAGAACTAATTTCAAACACTTGTGAGCCTAAATATTTTAATACTGCTTCAACAAATACGGGGCTTATTTCCCCCCAAATTTTTGAAACTTCAATTCAATGCGCTACAAACATTTCACTCCTAGGTAGTGCCAATAATTAAATCTACAATTATACCCATTTGCTTCAAAACTTCTCTAGAAATAGCACAAGGGGTAATATATAATAACAAAGCAGAAATAATACAGTGAAATCCAAAAGCTCAAGAGTGAAAAATCAATCAAGCATACAAGCTCGCAAATACCATAAACAGAATCAGATGACACACTTGGAAAATTCCAATTCATTTTTTACCCACACAGTTAGGGGTACCTAATTGGATATTAACCAAATAATTTTATTCACCCATTTAGAGATAAATTACAAAATAAAATCTTAATAAAACAAGATTGGTAACTTACTGAAGCACAGAGAACTTTGATGGTCTCACTTCAGCTGGTAGCAGATACATGGATCTCAGAGGAAAGGGACTCTTGCACCATAAAGCAGGCCCTTCAAGAAGGGCAACCTGAAAGAACCAGACCTTGACTCTTCATCGCTACCATTATATTACTTTCCCTAGGCTCTGTGAGGTTGAAGAGATGTGCTAGAACCTTGACAGAGTGACTTGCAGAAGTGACTCGCCGGAGGGGTTAGGGTTTCAAGGGGTTGAAGCTACAAGAAGTGTAGGGATATTTTGATATGTTCTAAGGTTAAGAGAACAAGTTTTAGGAATTAAAAAAAAGGCTAGGCTCTAGTAAAATTGGGTTTAGTGAAATTAGAAGAGGGAAATTATGGGGGGAAAACTAAACCGTTGCAAAAAGCCAAAATTTCCAAATAACCGTTACCATATGATATTGCAATGGTTACGACAACTGCTGCGATAGATAAATCTGTAGCAACGGTTATTGTACTATTGTAACGATTTACTTTTAGAGATGTTCCAATAGGTTCGCGCTTATGCAACGGGTAAAACCGTTCTAATAGATGGTCTATTGCAACGGTTATGTAACTGTTGCTACAACTGTCATTGCAATAGACCTATTTTTCTAGTAGTGTTACCTCGAACCAAGCTCAAACAGTGCATAAGAATGCCCTTTCCTCAATTATCCGACTCTGAATGGTCCAAATCTGACCAAACACAATTGCATATCATGAATACAACGATAATAGACTCATCTAATTAATGAAATCAATATTTTAACAAAAATTTCAAAATTTGCCCTATAAAGTCGACCCGGGCCCACGTCTCAGAATCGGGTAAAAATTATAAAATATGAACACCCATTCACTCACGAGTCCAACCATATAAGAATTACTCAAATCCGACCACAAATCCCCTTTCAAATCTCGAAATCTTTATTGAACAAGTTCTTCCAATGTTTCCCAATTTCAACCCCAAAAATTCGAAACTAAATGGAGAAAACAACTATAGATTAATGGAATACAACCAAAAACGAGTTAGGAATCATTACCCCAAAGCTTCCTATGAAAATCCCTCGAAAAATCGCCAAATTCTGAGCTCTCAAGTCCAAAAAACGAAGAATGAAATCAAACCATCGAATTTCTCTTTTCTACCTAGGCGTGACCGCACCTGCGACATAATTAGCCACATCTGCGCGATCGCAGGTGCGGACGTCCAAACCGCACCTGCACTTCCTTTCGCTTCTGCGCGCCAAAATCCGCTTCTACGAAGCCGCTGGTGCGCACAAATTCTCCGCATCTGCGGAGGCTGCCAAGTCCAGCTCTTCTCGCACCTGCGCCTTCATCTTCGCACCTGCGACCATCGCAGATGCGGAATCTTCCTCGCACCTGCGGCCCCTGGCACTCCTCCACTTTTTCGCTTCTGCGCTTGCCTCTCCGCACGTGCGCTCCCGCACCTGCGGTCTCTTCACCGCAAGTGCGAAAATACCAGAAGCCTGAAGACTTAGCAGTAACACAAATCAAACTTTTTATCCGTTAAGCACTCGAAACTCACCCGAGGCCCCCGGAACCTCAACCAAACATACCAACCAATCCTAAAATACCATACGAACTTAGTCGAGCCCTCAAATCACATTAACTAACGTTGAAACTACGCATCGCACCATGAATCTAACTTATAAACTTTTTAAATCTTTCAACTTCTAAAACCCGCGCCGAAACCTATCAAAACAACCCGAAATGACGTCAAATTTTGCAGGAAAGTCCCAAATAACATAACGGAGCTGTTCCAACTCTCGGAATCGCATTCCGACCCCGATATCAAAAAGTCCACTTCCGGTTCAAATCTCCAAAAATTTGACTTTCGCTATTTTATGCCTAAATTAGCTACAGACCTCGGATTTACAGTCCGGACACCCTTTTAAGTTTAAAATCACCCAACTGAGTTAATGGAACCGACAGAACTCCATTCCGGAGTCGTCTTCACATAGTTCCTAAAACTTAAGCTTCTGTTTTAGGGACTAAGTGTCCCAAATCACTCTGAATCACTCGGTAATTGAATTTAATCACGCACGCAAGTCGAGGCACACATTACGAAGTTGCTCGGGGCCTTATGCCGTCCGACGGGATTTAAATTCTCAAAACGACCGGCCGGGTCGTTACACTCGTGCACTTGTGACACCAATTCTGGGTTGGTATTTAGACTCCGTTATTTTTTATGGATTATTCACTATATTTCAAACTTACTTTCGCATTTGTTTCTTTGTTATTAAATAAATTTTAAAATTATTTAAAATGGTTAATATTATTCTAACGTTGGCTTGCCTAGCAAGTAAAATGTTAGGCGTCATCACGCTCCTGAAGGTGGAAATTTCGGGTCGTGACAGTTGGTATCAGAGCACTAGGTTACATAGGTCTCACGAGTCAAAAGCAAGCTTAGTAGAGTCTAAAGGATCGGTACGGAGGCGTATGTACTTATCTCTTAGAGGCTATGAAGTTTAGGAACAATATCACTTCTTTCTTATTCTGTCGTGCGATTATATTCTATCATCAATGATTGAACCATTCTACTCTTATTTTCTCTCGCAGATGCTGAGAACACGTAATACATCTACTGATGAACAGGGAGCAGAGCCCCCGGTGGCAACTATGGCCAGGGGTAGAGGTCGAGGCCGAGGTCGTGCTAGAAGCCGAAGCAGAGGCAGAGGTAGAGCTCAGTCTAGTGTCGAGCAGTTGCACCTGTTGTAGAACCTCAGGTGGATCTTCAGGAGGAGGTTCCAGTTCAGAATATACCAGTTGGACCAATTCAGGTCCCGGAAGGATTTATAGCTACCCCAGTGCTACAGGACGCTCTAGTCCGTCTGGTGAGTCTTATGGAGGGCATGACTCAGAATGGTATATTTTCAGTTGCACCAGCCGACTCACAGGCTGGGGAAGGAGCACAGACTCCCACTACTCCCGCTCCAGAATGGATGTCTCACCAGAATTAGGCTCCAGTAGCCCCGCCAGTTGGGGTAGTTCATCCAGTTATTGCGGCACAGACCGATAATAGGCCCGCCATGTCTTTTGAGGCCTAATTTAGACTTCGGTCAACATTTTGAGAAAATGATCCTGGAATTGGGATTTGACGGTTCCAATAGGCTTGAATGATAATTTTGGACTTAGTCATGTGTTCGTATTGGGTTTTGGATAACCCGCGAGTATTTTGGCGCTTAATAGTGAACATTCAACAATTTAAAGGTTTAAAGTTCTTTAATTTTGGTTTGGAGTAGGTTTTGGAGTAATTGAAGTCCGCTTGGAAGTCCGAGTTTGATAATAGTTCTGTATAGTGATTTAATACTTCCACACAAAATTTCGTATCATTCCGAGTAGTTTAAGTATATTTCGGCGCATTGGAAGTAAATTTAAGAACTTGAAAATTTTAAGTTGAATCAATTTAATTTGAGGTGTGGTTCTTAGTTTTGATGTTGTTTTACACGTTCTGAGGGTTCGAGCGAGTCCGTTTTATGATTTCAAACTTGTTGGTATGTTCGGGCGAGGTCCCGGGGGCCCCGAGTGTCAATCGGACGAGGCTTGGACCAAGTTGGAAATTGGGAGCCAGAACTGAAGCTCCCAGCTACTGTGAGAATCACACCTGTGCATTGGACAACCGCAGGTGCGAGCCATAATCCGCATGTGCGAAGAAGAGGAGCTGCCCAAAAACAGCAGATGCGAAGTATTTTGGCACCTGCGAACGTGCATGTACGAAGGGTTGGTGCGCATAAGTGGATGGGTGCGCAGGTGCGAAGGAATGGGCGCACCTGCATTGGCGCAGAAGCGAGCCATTTTACGCAGATGCGGTGCCAGGCCAAAGGAGGAAATGCGCACCTACGAGGAATGTTCCCCAGCTGCGAAACCAGAGGCGTGTGTGTAACTGTGCAGGTGCGAAAATCACTATTAGGCAGAACCTTAAAAAAACGGATGAAGCTTAGTCCATTTTTAGTCCGTTTTTCTTCCATTTATGGGCGATTTCAGTGCTTTTGTGAGGGGATTTCAACTAGCAACTTGGAGGTAAGTTAATTCTACACACCTTGAGTTAAATATATAGATTATGGGTAGATTATAACCAGTAAATCTTAGAAATCAAAGGTTTAGATGAAAAACCTAGATTTTTATAAAAACAAGATTTTAACCACGAAAATAGTTATGTAATTAGATAGAAATTATATATTTGAGTTCTTGAGGTTATGGGTAACATTTTCATCCGAAAATTTCCGGAATCCGGGCACGTGGGCCCGTTGTGAATTTTAGGAATGTTACCATTTTGGGTTGGGTAATTAACTTAATAGCCTAAATTCGAATTATTGAATATGTATTAATTATTTTGTATAACATTTGGATAGTTTCGGATTTTTCGACATCGAATTGAGAGTTTAACGCGATGTGGTGATCGGAAAATAGACTTTGAGGCAAGGTAAGTCTCTTGTCTAATCTTGTGAGAGGGAAATTAACCCCTAGGTAAGTAAATTAATAATTGTTGCTAATTGTGGGGGCTACGTACATACTAGGTGACGAGAGTCCGTGCGTAGCAACTATTAATGCTAAAGTCCGGATAGTTTAGGACTCAAAGCATGAATTACTTGTGTAAAATATATCATTTATTTAATTAAATTATTTGATATATATTTTGTATTGTTAGGGAAAGATTATAAAAGATGGAAATCTCATACGCTAAATTTTCTGTTTAAATTAATTGATTGTTAAAAGAACATTGTTCATCCTCTTGAATTAATCTTAATAAATATACTCTCATTCCGGAGGTACATAAGAAAATGTCCTCCTTTCTTGTGGAGAGGGCCGAACACCTCGACAGTATAGATGCATCTATGGATCGTGTCGCGTGTCCCTCGGCAGTGTACACGATACTCTGGATCGGGTCGTACGACCTCGGCAGAAATCGTGCCTAATAATAAATATTACACTATACCTTGATGTTTTAATTGCAGCTTGTGAAGTTAATTAATAGAATGGAAATTTGTGCATTTGAAAGAATTTTTTTTAATTCTGCTGGTTAAATAAAAATCATTGTTAACTCTGTAAATCATGTTGATTTAAATATTCCTATTTTATTCTATTTATTATTGTTGACCCACAGTGTCATCTTTAAATTTAATAATTAATTATGTGTTCTAAGACCTTGTAAAGCATTATTATCATTCCTCGACTTGCATGCGTAGTCCTTATAATTTTTCGAAAATGTGAAATAGAGCTTTAAAACTCAACTAAGTTGACTTTGATCAATATTTTGAGCAAACAGGTTGGGATCAGTGTTTTGGCAGTTCCTGTAGGTCCGTATCGTGATTCGGGACTTGGGCGTAGGCCCAGAATCGAATTCTGAGGTCCCTAGCC